TTTACTGTGCCCTCAAACAATTTTATTTATTACTGATTATGCAGTCACTTTATGTTTTGTCTTTATTTTTGGAGTTGTGGTAAAATCTGGTAGTGTAGGAATTGTTAGTATTTTTGTGTTTGTGCTAGATTTGAGGGAAGGATTGGCTACTGTGATGTTAAGAGGTATCTTATGCTGGTATAGTATGGTCAGCACTGATACTACATACAGATTTGGGGTCAGGCTCTAGAGGTCCCCTGCTGTGCTGAATCATAATGAGCTAGATGGGCTCCATATTCTGGAGCTTCAGGGAAGCTGAACTTACTGGTTTGGAACTATTTCCTTTTTTTTTTTTTTTAAAGAGAGATTTTTGCTATAGTACATGTGCATTTGCTGCAAAGACAGAGAGAAAGAAAGTGAGAACTAACTCCCAGGGGGATGGCCACACCGCAGTCCCATCTCTATTTTTCCTTTCAGGATTCTCAGCCCGCTTGCACCCATGCCCAGTGTAAGTTTCAGGCCTCCCGTTCTGGGAAGCAAACTACTGTCAGTCATGTGAGAGTCCAATGCCTTAACCACTACTCCACCTGCTGGCCCCAGTATTTCAATATTTTAACTGGTAGAAGGGTTGTACTGATGAGTAGGCTGAGTAAATAATTTGATAAGATCCACACGAAGGTAATCTGAAGTTAGTCCTTAGAATTCTTTCATTATCTGTTGGTATTGTAGCAACCCAAAGACGAAGTAACACGCAGGAAAAACTCAAGAGTACTCCTTTGATAATAAATATGGTGATAGTGAAAGTAAGTATCTCAGTATTTCTTTTGGGAAATTTGAAAAATACAACAAAAGGCAAAAAAGAAACTAATTATCATTGGGACCAGCAGTTAGCCTAGTGGCTGTCAGTGGACTCCCATGTAGTCGACTGCGGTTCGAGTCCTGGACCCGGTGGCTTAAACTTACGCCGGGCACGTGTGCGTGTGTGCCCAGGATCCTGAGAGAATGGAGGAGAAGGGATTGCAGCATGGCCATTCCTGGGGGATGATTTCTTAGGGGGTGATTTCTCGCTTTCTGTCTCTCTGCTTCTGTCTTTCTCTGTCTTTCTGGCGAGCGCATACTCTCTTTAGCAAAAACCTCTAAAAAAAAAAAAGAAACTAATAATCATTCATTTTCCTTCATCCACAATTAATGACATTTTGGCCAAGTTTTTGCTTTGATTTTTTTTTTCCTCTAAATTATCCACTCAAAATTCACAAGTGAAGTACAAATGTATTCTTTGAAAACTGGTTATAGAACATTACAGATAAAGGCAAAACAGTCTTTGACCACCCTTTACCCAATTGGCACTGGACTTCCACAGGGCTAATTGCAGTTTGAGCCAAGACCTGGTGACTTGCCTTCTCACTTTCCCTTTTCTCTCTCTCAATCTGATCAAATAAGTAAATATATTTAAAAAATTCTCTCTCTCAATCTGATCAAATAAATAAATATATTTAAAAAATTTTAAAATAGTAAATAATTATGTTTTAACCATTTAGCAGAAATAATAATTGTAGTTAGTTTAGTATTTCAGAGTTAGAACTTCTAAAAACTTGAATCAGAATTTATACTTTTTTATTTTGTTGTTGGATATATTGGGAAGAACTGTGGAAAGGAGTTACAACTGGGTTAGCTTTTATTACTGACTAGAAGAAGAGGCAAATAAAAGATAAAACAAAATTAAAATTAAGTTGTATTTTGTTGAATTAAAAAGTATCGCTATATACTGTTTCTGGGGTAAGATAGAATAGACATCGCTCCCCCTGTTCTCCCAAAAAGTAGAGCTAGAGACCCTGGGCATGGAATACAAAGCAAATGTAAGAAGATTCTGAAAGGTAGAGGGAAAGGAGACCAGAATACAACACGCATTTTAGGGTCAGTATTACCCTGATAGAAAAACTTGAGAAGGACCATACATATTGTTGATGGTTTAAAATAATTTAAATTCAGAGATTTACCTCCGATCTATTAGCTATTTCTATTTAAAGTAATATAGCAAATATATAATTAATATAAAATATGGTTATTTTAAAGGTAGTAGGGAACCATCCCTTTTTCTGTATCTAGGCTATTAAATAACTTAAATCATTTTAAAGTTTATTATAGATTAATATCTCTACAGATTAATCGTTTATAAACTTTGCTAGTATATAATGACCCCTTAAATGAACTTCTCTCAGTATATTCTATAAATTTTACTTCTCCAGGTTTATTCAACTCATACTAATTTCACTCATATGGGAGATGTCTGTCCTTATTTCATGTGTAGCTGTAGTGTAGTTCACAGCAATGTTCTCTGTCTTAAGAAAAACCTTTCAAGGGGCCGGCAGGTGGCATGGTGTCTAAGGGCACTGAATTACCACATGACTGACCATGGTTTGAGTCCCAGATCTGGAAGCTTGCTTTCTCACTTTCCCTCTCTCTCTTATTCTGTCCCTCTCTGGTCAAATTTAAATAAATAAATAGATAGATAGATAGATAGTTAAATAAAATAATTCTTTTAAAAAAGAATTAAACCTTTCTAAAGCTCAGTTTTTTTTCCATCAGAAAGTGAAGGTAGTAATGGCCTCATAAGTAGGGTAACATAGCTTAGTTTATCTGTGATAGCATTGATTTATGTGTAATATCTTACTTTTTTTGCTATTGTTATTAACCATTTCATTATTTTGACAATTACCGTGCTGCTATTTTTACTATTAATAATGGTAATAGATTGATATCATTAGATTAGAATTACCTTACACTACTACCATGATACCTACATTAAAAATACTTGTAAACAAAACAAAAACCCATGAAACACTACAAGTACTCCAGAAAGTAAAAAATGAAAAAAAGTAGAAACTCCCTTTTCTCTTCCAAATACCATCTTTCTGTCTAAAGTATGTAATTAGCAAGAACTTCTTCTTTATCCTTAACAGAAAATTTTACTATAATAGAACCATATTGAAAGGCTGATTTTTTTTTTCCCTCACATTGCTTTTATCACCTAGTAAAAGGTTGCTGGGAAAGTCATGACATATTTCTCAATGATTTTCTTTGCAGAAATGTGACCTAAAAAAGATCCAATATATTGGGTTTTTCCATTTTCATTTTTAAAATGATTTTTAACTGACACAGTAATTGCACATATTTATAGGGTACAGTTTTTTATTTTTGTTTTGGTTTGTTTGGCACATGAATGCAATATGTAATGATCAGTTCAGGATAGCGAGCATATCCATTACTTCAAACATTTTTTTGTTACTTTGTCCATTTCTGCGTTTATAAGTTTATCTCATTTTTAAAAGTTTACTTACCTATGATACAGAGGGAGAGAAGCAGAGAAATACTTGATTTTGACAGTTTCTCTATGTCAATGTCCTCCTTCCCCAACCTCTCAGCTAGGATTATAAGATTGCTTTCACTGTGTTCAGTCTCTTTTGAGGGTCACCTAGGGCATCCCATGTGACTTCAGCCTTTAGATAATGGCTTCCTCGTAGTGTGTGTCACTGGGGCTGAGCTCGTTTTACTCTTTTTTAATAGTGTCAGTATACTAAATGAATTTTTTTTTGGTAGTTTGAATTTTTTAATAAACTGCTGATCATTTTAAAATAAAATACTGGCATTTAGATAATTATCTTTCCTTTTTTTTTTTTTTTTTTTACTATTTTGAACCATGTTATGGTAAAAAAAAATTTATATGTGTATGTTGGAATACTTTTGCAAGTTTATCTGTAGTGTGCATTCTTAATAAAATGAAGTCAAATCATCAGTACATTTATTTCATCAAATCTGTGTATTTGGCAAAGAGAAGTCTCAAAGCATGAGAGAAAATAGTGCATCAGAATTAGTCATGCTATCCAAGAAGTATATGAAATCTGAAATCTGAAAAAAAAGGACTATGAAAATACTATTCATTGGAGCTATTGCTATGGGATACCCTGAGGTACTCCATTTTGCATATAGTGAGGTTGATTCCATGATTAGAAGGTTGTATAAATAAATTACTATGTAAACAATGAGATACAGTAGCAATTAAAAGGAAAATAAGCATTTTTGGGTAAAAAGTAGTCATGTTGTGAACCATAAATGAAGTATACTATTTATGTAAATTTTCAAAACACAAAATATAATTTTAATATTTTTTAAAAACACACATGTGTGATTAAAACATAGGATTGGTAGACTGTACATTAACTTTGGATTATTGTTTATATCAGGGAAGAAAGGGAGAAGATGAGACAGGAATAGGAGAGCTACAGCTTGTATCTTATTCTCTAAAAATAAAAAGATCAGAAGTAAATATGGCAAAATGTGGACATTTGTATTATGTAGATGATAGATTGGTCTGTGGTTGTTAGTTGATTATTCTTTGCACTTTTGTGATTGTTTTGACCTATACAGTATTTTTAATATGAAAAAATTTTAAATGTCTTTTTTCAGTAGCCTACTTTTAGAGGGTGCTTTGAAACTCAAATTGTTGAAAAGAAAATAATATTGGATGTACTTATTTTTCTAGAACAGAAATTGTGTCATCAACGTATTAAGTAATTTATTTGCTTATTATATGTCCTACTCTTATATAAAGTATCCTTTAAAAAAATTTCTTTTCCTCTTCAGACAGCATGTTTTCGTGAAGAAAGGGATGTATTAGTGAATGGAGACAATAAGTGGATTACAACTTTGCACTATGCTTTCCAGGATGACAATAACTTAGTAAGAACCATTTTTTAAATGTTTTTATATCCTTATTAATTTTTTGTTGGTGGAATTTAGCATTATTTTCTTTTAATAATTGTTTAAATTACTAGATTATTGATTATATCAGAGGAGAAAGGGAAAAAAGATGGGATCATTTTAGATTTTATTTAGAAAAAAAAATCAATGCATTTCGCAGAATGTAAATGATTCATTTGTTATGTACTCCTTCCCCCCTCCCCTAGGTGATTCCATTGGAATTTTTTATGCTTTTAAATAAGAAAGTAAAAACTGAATGGAAACATTTAATTCCTATCAGTTAAATTCTGTAGAAGGTGCTTCAGATTTTCTTTTTATGATTTTCTCAATATATTTTACATGTATTATTCTATTGCTTCTTAAGAATTTTACGTATTTTTTGGGACCACCAGTTGGCATAATGGCTATGTCACTGGACTCCCATGTAGTTGATTGTGGTTTGAGTCCCGGACCTGGTGGCTTAAACTCATGCTGGGTGCACGTGTGTGCGTGCGTGCCCAAAATCCTGAGAGGAGACTGGGGGAGAAGGGATTGCAGCATGGTCATCCCTTGGAGTAATTTCTTGCTTTCGATATCTTCAGTAAGCTCACTCATTCTCTAGCAAAAATCTTTCTTAAAAACAAAATAAAACAAAACACAATACATGAGAGCTTCATGACCAAAAACAAACAAACAAACAAAACACAAAAAAAGCACCAAAAATCAAAACATGTGGTTGTGAATGTCCAGTTTGCTTAGCAGAGCTTATAAGGAGCTACATGATATGCCTCTCTCAAATCTCCTCTTCATCCTCAAGTCTCTTAATTCTCTCCTCCATCAATATGAATGTAACAGACTGCTTCAAGTCCACACTTCTCCTCACTAATCCTCTGTCTCTTCTTCCTTCCTGGTTTAACTAATTCATATTTGTCTTAAGAGTCTTCACTGAATTCATACCTTTCGATTCCTTCACCTGAAATAATCTGAAAATACTATTTACTTGATGAAGAAGAAGGAATGAAGATGAATTTCTTTTAACTAATTTTTGTTTTTAAATGGGTGTTAGTGGAAGAAAGAGGAATCACAGTGTATTCTTTTTTTTTTTTTTTCCTCTAGCATTTGACTTGTGAGACTTAGTGGTTAGGACTTAGTGTTAAGTTGTTCATGAATTGAGTTTGGAAAGTGGGAATAATAAAAAGAATACTGCTTTGTAACACATGAGTATTATACAAAATTCCAATTTTAGTCTCTATAAAGTTTTATTGGAACATAGATACACCTATTGATTTGTACACTGTCTATGTCAGCTTTTATGCTAGTGACCTAATTGACTAGTTCAAAGACTGGCATTAAGACAGGATAACATACTGTCTTTGTAACTCTCCTCACTATGTACTTCTGTTTAGTACACTGCAAATTATAGTGACTCAGTTATAACTTGATAGTGTTTTGGATGCTGTATTTCTCACTGTATTATGACATTTTATATATATTTTTATTAATAATGCATACTCATTTTGTCAAACAAGGAGAGTCGTCTTCACCTACGTTGCTTTCAGTGAATAAATTATTTTCTTAATGGACTAAATGGCAGAGCATTGTATTTATTATATAGCCATACTACAGCTGTCGTAACACGCAGTAGGTAGCCATAGCACCAGACTAAGCACTCTTTGTTGTATTTCCAACTTATAGGGAAGCAGCAGTTAGAAAAAATAGAAAATTTAAAACAGTATCTTATCTTGACAGAATTTCTTTGAAAAAGGTAAATTGAAAATGAGTTTGCAAATATTTCAGAAAAGCTCATTTGTTAGCGAAGGAAGAAAAGTCATTTACTAATGTTTAGTTAATTAAACCACATTTCATTTTGTAGAAGCCAAAGAAATACGTCTAAGGAAAATAAACTTATTTAGTCTTTTGGTAAGAACTGTTGTTCAAAGAATTGAGGACATTGGGAGCAATGTCAGGACCTGATAATAAAACCAGGGAAATGTGCAGAAATATCTTTTCTCTCTTATTCTATAAATACATATATAATAATCTTGATTTTACTTCTTTGTCTGCCTTGCCTAAGATATTTACCATGAGAAAATGTCCAACTCCTGTCATAACATAGTTAATGTAGGGAGTAAACAAGAGTAACTGAGTAGTGCTTGTGAAATGTGAAAATGTGTCTGTAGAAGAAAGAGAGGAGCCTAAGAAGAAGACAACTAATGGAAATAAAATATCAAAGAAGTTAATTTTTCAAAAGCCACTTATAAAACAGGATTTGAATATAGGCTTTTTTTTTTTTAAAGAATAAAGCCTTTTTCCTATATGCCTGCTTTTCTCCCTCATCTTAAAATTATATACACACACATATAAATATATATATATGAAATATATATATATATATAATACACATAAACACACACATGAGCACTTGTATATGTAATACATGTTTATAAGGATAATTGGACCTATCTGTAATTTTTTTTTTAGAGAGAGATTTTTGCTATAGTGTGTATGAGTTTGCCTGAGAGACAGGGAGACAGTGAGAAATCACTCCCGGGGGGATGGCCACACTCCAGTCCCTTCTCCTCCATTCTCCTCTCAAGATTTTGAGCATGCACACACACAGATCCAGCGTATTTCAAGCTGCCAGGTCCGAGACTCAAACTGCGGTTGACTCTGGAAATTCTGTGACATAACCATTATGTCATCTGGTCCCTCATCTGTAATCTAAAAACTCAGATAACCTCAGTGAACATTTTGGTTATTCTCTTTTTCTTGACATACACACACACACACACACACATACACACACACCACACACACCCACACACCCATACCCACAAGGGTACATATCTAAAATTAGTTAACTTCTGTTTATATATATTGGATAAAAGTATATTCTGATATTGTTACACTATCAAAAATGGGAAGAGAAACATATATGGTAGGGATTACTATGTTCTGTATATGTAATAGTTTCTAAGTGCTGGTTATAAAGTTCTTTTTTTTTTTTTTTTTAAAGAGAGAGAGGTTTTTTTTTTTACTAAAGGGTGCGTGTGCTTGCCAAAGAGAGAAAATGAGAAATCACCCTCTGGGGGGATGGCCACATTGCAATCCCTTCTTTTTCATTTTCCTCTCAGGATTTTGGGCACATAAGCACACATGCCTGGCGTGCCTTTCAAACCGCCAGGTCCAGAACTCAAACCAGGGTTGATTACATGGGGGTCGAGCGATGTAACCTTTATGCCATCTGCTGGTCCCTATAATAAAATCCTTACTGATCTAAGGTAAGGAAAATGTAGTGATGATGAAGATGAATGAAGATGAAGTTTTTTCAACATAAAGACCCATCCTGTAGTCTGAATTTCTTTTTTTTTTTACTTTTCAAGGAATTGAAATGTCTTCTTTAAAATGTTCTAAAGCTATGGTCCATTGTTATAGGTGAGGATGGTGATACTGTTACTTTGCAGTATATAACAACAACAAAATGGTAATCCTGTGTTTTCTTCCCTAGTTCAAAAATTTTTTTTTCTGTATAAAATTTAAGTCTTGGGGCCAGCAGGTGGGATGATGGTTAAGGCACTGTATTCCCACTATTCCCACATAATTGACCGCTATTCAGGTCCTGGACCTGGTGGCTTGAAATTTATGGTGGGCCCATGGGCCCGTGTGCATGTGTGGCCAAAATCCCAGGAGGAGATTTGGAGAAGGGATCGTGGCGTGGCTATCCCCTCTTGGGGGGGTGATTTCTCACTTTTCCTCTCACTGTTTCTGTTTCTCTCCAGTGAGCACATGTGCCCTATGCAAAACTTGAAAAAAAAATTTAGAGATCTTGTTATGATTACTCATTATCATCTTAGATAGCTTCTTGTTAATTGCATAAGTAAGTTACTACGTATTTGACACATTTATTTGACTTCAAGATACTTTAAATAGACTTCCTTTTTGCCATTATTATTTATTGAGTATATTTTATTTTTTTATTTATAGTACCTGGTTATGGATTATTATGTTGGTGGAGACTTGCTTACTTTGCTCAGCAAATTTGAAGATAGATTACCTGAAGATATGGCCCGATTTTACTTGGCTGAGATGGTGATAGCAATTGACTCAGTTCATCAGCTACATTATGTACACAGGTGAGTTAGTCCTTCATTGCATCTGATTATGAGTTATTACCTTGAAGTATCTAGAGAAAGAAGGTCTTTATTTTCTCTCTATTTGTGATAGAGCATGTGACAATGAAGAGGGTTGGGGGAGGAGGGGTAGCCTCCACAGGGTCTGGTCATGCCATGATCCTTCCCTCTAATCCTTCAGGCCATTGGATCTTGGCCACTCGTGTGCATGACCAGTGTGTTTCAGACAGACTGGGCCAGGGATTTGAACTGTAGTTGCCTGTGGGATCTATCTTATTTGAACATCATGTTACTGATACACCATGAAGCTGGCCAGAGGCCTATTTTAACAATTGTGCATTATGGTCTTACTTACATTTCTTATCAACCAAAGTAATTTATTTTGAAATAGGTTTGGTTGTTTTGCTTTGCTGTTATTGTTGTAGTCAGTATTTGTTAGCATTAAAAAACTGATGTGAGGGCCAGCAGGTATGTTAAGGCACTGGGCTCCTACATGGCTGACTCTGGTTCAAGTCCTGGATCTGGCGGCTTGTTTCCTCACTTTCCCTCTGTCTCGCTCTGTTGCTCTCTGGTGAGCACATGTGTTTTATAGCAAATTAAAAAATAATAATAATGAATAAAACTAAATAAATAATTCTTAAAAAAAAGGATGGTGCCTACTTATACATACATACACATGTATAGTATTTAAAAGTTCCCACATTCAGTCAGCATTTCTAGAGACTCCTCCTAAAAAATGCTCCTATTTGAATTTATATATGACTTCCTTCTCAAAAGGAGTATGCATTGGCTAGTTTCCTGATATTAGCTAGAATTCTGTGCCATAAATCATACATTCAATTGCTAAATGAAACCCATACCAAGACCTTTTTTTTTTTTTTTTTTTACGAAAATAATATTTTCAAGGATCATAGAAATGTCAAAAGAGGGGACTAACAGGTGGTATGGTGGTTAAGGGTGTTGGACTCTCACATGGCCGACTGTGGTTCGAGTCCTGGACCTGGCGGCTTGCTTTCTCACTTTCCCTCTCCCTCTCTCCTTTATTCTTACTCTCACTCTCATTCTGTCCCTCTCTGGTCAAAATAAATAAGCAAATAAAGGTAACTAAAAAATAGAAAGATAAATGTCAGAAGAGATGTTTTTATAGTAGAGTGATGATTTTGATGTTCATGGAATCATTTCTTCATTGTAAACTGTTTCATAGATGAAATGATTTATTTAAATTTTTTCTCTAAGTGTGTACTATATTATAAACAGTTTAGAATGAAATGAAAAGAGAAAACTTAGTCACAAAATGACTGTTATACAGGATTGTTCTTAAGACTTTTGGTATAAGTTAAAAATTCTGGTTTTATGTAAACAACTCATAATGTTTTCCATAATAAAAATTTTAAAAATGTGTTGGCTAGTTTTAAAGGAAGCCTCACATTTTAAAAGGAAGGAAAATATGAAATCATACATTGCTAAATTAATCATTTAGATGAGAAAATCTTAGTGTGGTGTGAAATGTGAGAAAGAGAAAGATGCTGAGGAGTAATAGGTAAAGGGATGCTACTGTGTTAGTGAGAAACTAAACTATTTTTGCAGACAGGGACTTTGAAATTTCAGTACACAACTGAATCTCATGGAGGAATTGTTAGAACTCAGTGGGTCAGCTGCATAGTTTCTGATTGAGTGGGTTAGATGGAATTGGCATCTCTAACCAGTTCCTAGGTCGTGCTGGTACACCTGCATCTGAAGCTGGTCCAGTGACCACACACTGAGAACCATTGCTCTAAGACCATCAGTGACTTCAGGATGATGAGCACAATCTCTGTGGAGAAAATGAAAGTGGGAAGAAGAGAAAGTTTCTTTCAGTGTTTGTTTTTAAGATGTGACTGTTTTATGCAAATTTATTCAGTAATGAAGTCCTAGGACATTATTAAAGGAGTAATGTTTGATTAAAATATTTGTATTTTATGACATCTCTTTGTCTCTTGCCTATGCATATGCTTGGTGTCTGATAGTCACATTTTATTGAAAATAAAGACATGAAAATGCTTTGAAAATTGCAAAGCACAGTACAGTTTTTAAGATTGTGTGGTCTTAAGAGTAAATTACAGGATGAAAGTCAGAATGCTTTTTTGTTGCTCAAAATATAACCCAAGATTTTAGTGGAGGACTGTGGCTTAAAAATATCTATAAAAATAACAATTTCATTGAATATTTAAGGAATGTTAGTTACTAAACACAGTGTTAGCCTTGTAGAATTTAGAGAGACTTTACTCAGTTCATGTTTTAATTATTGACAAGAAATAATTATTTCTGCGGGCTGGCAGGTGGTGTGGTGGTTAAGGGCACTGGACTCCCTCCCACATAGCCTACTGTGGTTTGAGTCCCAGACATGGTGGCTCGCTTTCTCTCTTTCTCTTTCTGTCTCTCATTTTCTTACTCTGTCCCTCTCTGGTCAAATTAAAATAAATAAATTAATTTAATTAAATAATTCTTAAAAAAGAAAAGAATGATTACTTTTTTTTTTTTTTTGAGAGGTTTTCGCTATAGGACGTGTGCACTCGCCAGACAGACAGAGAGAGACATAGAGACAGAAAGCGAGAAATCACCCCCCAGAGGGGATGGTCACGCTGCAATCCCTTCTCCTCCATTCCCCTCTTGGGATCTTGGGCACGCATGCACACGCACCCGGCGTGAGTTTTAAGCCACCGAGTCCGGGACGCGAATCATGGTCAACTACGTGGGAGTCCAGCGACATAGCCATTATGCCAACTGCTGGTTCCCAAGAATGATTATTTCTGAAAATTATTCCTTAGACCGGAACTACTAAATACCAGGTACTTGTGGTACCCTCCATCCTGCCAGCTTGTGACAGATAGTCTTCAGTGATCACAGCACATTTTCCTACTGACTGTATTTGCAGTCTTATAATTGTTCTCATCACAGTGTTCCATGTAGCACTATCTTTCTGATATTGTTATGTAGATTCAAAACCATTTCAACCCTGAACTCTTCTTAAATGCCTGCAATTTTATAAGGTACTTAATGTTAAATGAATTCTATTTATTCCATTGTTGTGAAGCTCTGGTAATAGAGAATTTTACTTTATATTAAGCCAAATTTCTTTTTCTCCTATTTGCTGGCTCTAGTTTTGCCTCCAGAGTCACATATAATTTATTTATCTTCTTACCATGTTTTCTGAAGTATACTTTTGGTTATCTACACATCTAGTTTCTCTGTTTACATACATGTTCTCCTGTCTCTTATTACACATAGACATATATTAATACATAAAAACACTGTACCCTATGGCCACTCCCATTCCCCTTTTCCCTCCCTGCTTGCCTCTTCCTTTACCCTTTCATGGATATTCCACTGTGTCTTGAAATGTGAACCCCGTTTTCTGTTTAAACTATTTTCAGCAAATCCTTTACCGAGGAAGTATTTATTGAGTTGTCTTTGATGAATAGCATTGTGTTAGACTATGTGGAATTTTAAGTAGGCAAAGCATGTAGTCCTGACTCATTAGAAGCGTCCCGTTTGTTTGGAAAATATTAGACAGAAATAAAAATGATAATAACATATGTTAAATAGTTATTTAGGGCAAAAGTTCAAGAGATAGAAGGATATGGAGGGACCAGCAGGTGATGTAATGGCTATGTCACTGGACTCCCATGTAGTTGACTGTGGTTCTAGTCTCCAACTGGTGGCTTAAACTCACGCCAGGCACGTGTGTGTGCGTGCTCAAGATCCCGAGAGGAGAATGGAGGAGAAGGGATTGAGGTGGGGTCATCCCCCCTGGGGAGTGATTTCTCACTTTCTGTCTCTGGCAAGCACACACGCCCTATAGAAAAAAAAAAAAGAAGAAGGAGGACCAGCAGTTAGTGTAATGGCTATGTCGCTAAACTCCCATGTAGTCGACTGTGGTTCAAGTCCTGGACCCAGTGGCTTAAACTCATGCCAGGTGCGTGTGCGTGCATGCCCAAGATCCCAAGAGGAGAATGGAGGAGTAGCAATCCAGTGTGGCCATCCCCCTGGGGGGTGATTTCTTGCTTTCTCTCTGTCTCCCTGTCTCTATCTTTGTAGCGAGCTCATGTGCCCTATAGGGGTTCAGGGCTTCCAAAAGCTCAGCCAATTGGTGATATTTTAGTGAATAACATTTGAAATTTTGAGTTTCTAGGAATACTTTTTTTTTAATTAAAAATTTTTTTGAGAGGTTTTTCTATGGGGCAGGTGTACTCACCAGAAAGACAGAGAGAGACAGAGAGACATAAGGCGAGAAATCCCCCCCCCCCCAGGGGGAATGGCCACTCCCACTCCACAATCCCTTCTCTCTATTCTTCTCTCGGGATCTTGGGCATGCATGCACACTCGCCTGGCATGAGTTTAAGCCATCAGATCTAGGACTCGAACTGCGGTCGACTACATGGGAGTCCAGCGACATAGCGATTACGCCAACTGCTCGTACCCCAACTTTTTTTTTTTTTTAAGAGAGATTTTTGCTATAGGGCATGTGTACTCGCTGGAGAGACAGAGAAACATAAAGTGAGAAATTATCCCCAGGGAGGATGGCCATGCCACAATCCTTTCTCCTCCACTCTCCTCTCAGGATTGTGGGCATGCATGCCACAATCCTTTCTCCTCCACTCTCCTCTCAGGATTGTGTGCCCGCATGCACACATGTCCAGTGTGTATTTGAAGCCACCAGATCCGGGACTCGAACCACGGTCAACTACTTATGTGTGAGTCCAGCTGTGTAACAATTAAGCTATCTGCTGGTCCCTCTAGGAGTACAGTTTTATAATACAATGCAAAACATTAAGTATTTTCATGGGAGGTGTTAAGTAACTCTAAGATGAAAGAAATATGAAAGAAGTATGATCAATAGAACATACCAAGTTTAGAAATGAAAAAATCACATGTGCAGGGCTATGGAGATATAAAAATATGAATAAAAGAGATTGATTTGAATAGCTTTAAGTTTGATTTGCAGACTGACCCGTGATAAGGTA